CGCAGGAGGGTTTTGGCGGGTTTGCACCAATTTGACCAGGGGCTGCCTGGCTTGAAGCTGGCAGTAGCAAACCATTGAACAATCGGAGGTGCCCTCCCACTATCAGAGACAATTCGTGGCGCTCGTGCTCTACGCCAATCGAGCTGTGAGCTTATAACCCGTAGACCTGTTGTCTCCCATGGCTGGGTTTTACGGGAAGAGGTCCATCGACCACAACCTAACCTCCGAAGAGGATGGACAACGATACTACCAAGGCGCCCACACTTGATAGGAAAACGACTCGGGTCCTCAGCTAACGCCTTCGATTAAATGAACATCCGAAAGGCAGCGGGTTTAGCACATGGTCAGTTCACTGACTCATGCGGATTTGAGTCCTGGATCTTAGCAGGGAGAAGGGCGAAACCAAACTCCCACCCAGCGGTCGCCACGAGGAGGCGCCCAGGACATGAGCCAATGGCACAACAGTAGCAGCAGTGGTAGACCATCTGTCAGGATCTAGCCACCACCAGCCTCAGCGCACCATAGGCTCTCCCGCCATATATATATACATGCATACGTATACGCACATATATATATGCAGCTTAGCTGACGGGCTTAACAAATGTTCCGACTGCCAGCTATGTAACTGCTTACCTTTGGGTGGTAAGACGACATCCGCCCTATGAGGAAAGATGAAGGTTATCCTCGGCTCAATCACAATGTATTAATCTATATTCCTGGAACTCTAGCTGCAAAATCTGGCTAAATCAGCGCAAGCTATCATGAGATTTGCCAATGTCTGTTCACTCATTTTAGCTGCACAACTAGCTGATGTACACATGTATCACTTCCTTAGGAAAGTAGATTGCATAACGCCACTCCCTGCACATTTCTTGAGAGCATAATGAATCTCACCAGCCATCTATTTTATGCAGGTATCAAGTAATCCCTACCTCAAATTCCTTTGGCCATACCACAGTATTCCATGAGCTATTGGATTACGCATCGATTAATATTTCCGTCACCACACGATTACTCAACGTTACGTAAGAGCAAGAGGCGATGGTTAGTAGCCTACCAAGCAACCGAATATGCTGATATCACTAATGCATCGGCGTTGAGGCAAAGTAAAACACTGAACATTGCACCCTCCCTTTATCTAAACCTGGGAATTGCATCGGCCGCAAATCATGAGCCAATATCGTCAAAGTCCACAGCTACGATAGTAACCCACTTTACGTCCAGCACTGCAAACCTAGAACCGTTTTCCATGTTGTTACCGGGCCCGAAGTAAACGTGGTTCCACGCGCAAATGAGGAGGCGACTCAGCCTGCAACACTTAGACTTCGTAGTGCTAGTGACATACTATGTATTACCCAAAATTTGCCATCCCTTGTATAACTTGGCATCATGGAGTTGCAATAGAATATTAGTCCAAAGTCTTAAGTCTATATAATATCACACCAAAAAGTCTACTATTAGGTGTTTTCTGTCATGTGTCTTTTCCATGTTATTGTGTGCGATATTGTTGGTTCTGTATATTCCCGAATTTTCCCCATAAAATCATCTGTCGCAAGCGTCAAACGTGAAATGTATCGAGAATGTTTGTCACAAACTAACCTCATCATTTATAAATTAGCTGCCTCAGTGTTGCGTGTACACCATGCGAAAATTGAAGTCCTGCAAATCTCCGCGGGGAATACCGTCAGTCTCTAGCGCTTGGTGCAACCGGGAGATGGGGACGTTGGTTTCCATTGAATTCCTGGGTGGATTTCTCAAGCGAATATTTTCAAATTGCGCATAACCAATTTATAAGCCAATCACTTATTACATTTAAGAAATTTGTCCGAATATCATCGGCTTATATTCAGTAATATAAGGAGGATTCTCCAATGGACAGCCAACGGTCCTTAATGCTTAATTTATCTCCGTAGAATATTAAGCAACATTTTCACTATTTCCACCGTACCGTTTATCATCATCGGCAAATTCTTGCTCAGATATATCATCCCCTTGTTCGACGCGCAAATACAGAGAATAACACCCTCCGCAACGACTCCCAGCTCCCCTGGTACCAATACTAGCATCCTAGCTGTCAACCCAATCAAACTTTCCCCACGGACCTCTCCATATTATTCCGGCCTCTTAGAACATTAATCCAAGCGAGTTCAGCCAATGAAAGCAGCTCTGCATATAACTTTTCGAGTTACACACCATATCCGGACTTATGGCCTACCCGTCTCATCAGACCCGCGCCGACGTTCGATGGAAAATCTTTAGTTAGGGCAGAGCTTGACCATATGCTCAAACGTGAAATAATCCGTGTTTCAGACGACCTTTGGTCCTCTGAAGTCAAATATGTGCCGAAGAGATGTCAAGGTTGGCATTTTGCCTTGACTGCCGGGCATTAACCATCCTATGGTCCCCGTCAATTATAACACCTCAAAATTCCACGAACTTACTCTATTCCTACAGTCAAGCAGCTCTCCAGCAAGATCTATCCCGTTTCCGCTTACAACCATATACCTATGTACAGAAGTATAGCCCAAAAACAGCCATCATCACTCCCTTCGGATTGCTTTTTTAATGAAAGCCATTTGAATTACGCAACAATACCCAAGCCATTCAACGCTTCCTCCCAGACGTACCTCGTGGCATAGAATTCGCTTTCCCCAACCTCGACAACATTTGATTGCAATTCATGCGACTAGTAAACCTAAGCCCCCTTCAATCACCCTTCCAGCTGCTGTCTTAAAACGTTATCACCGCCAACCTTACTTAGTACAAACGTGAAAAGTTCACAGGATAATCCATCGTTTACGTTGTGTCATCTTCTGGTAACGTGTCCCGGTAAACGAAATCTTACCACCTCCGAATTCATTCAAGCAACCCCGTCAGTTTGTAGTCGAGTCAAGTAAGGTAGATGCTTACTAGCCTGCTGCACTCAGTACACGTGGCTCTGAAACTGAACTTCTTAGAGTAAACAAGCTCCAGCTGGCTTTCTCGATACAGCGCAAACGGCTTTCAGCGAGCTTATGGATGCTATCTCCGGCGTAGCTTTCCTCGTTCACTGGGAAACGCCTCTTCGTTTTTCTCCTAAAAGGAATGTTTTATAAGTTGCGCAAGAGTTGTTCTTCAGCAACAAGCTGTAGGGAAAGGGCTAGCTACCTGGTTCTCCAGTTGCAGGCAGGTTTCGCAACAGTACGTTTGATAGGGACAGGCTCGCCAACTACGTAAGGATTAACCAATCCCCACCTTCATAGGAAGGTCATATTTCGTAGTCTAAGCTGACCAACATCCCTCATATTTACCTACAACTCCTTCCCAGACAATTAATCACAACGGAAATATAGGCACCTGAACTTCGTCTATCTGTTCGCTACTTAAAATGGTAAACCCACATGATGCAAGGACCCAATCGCCCAGGCGGTCTCCCGACTTAACAACTTACTTCACTTTTTCTTTCTGTTGACTTTAATGACATGCCATCAGTTTTGGCTCGATGAAGCTTTCAACGACCCTTTAGTTTACTTCAATTAATGTGCATAGAATTCTTCTCTAAAGCACGAACCGATGTATTCTTTGTGACCCGTCCACAGCTTGTATCCTGTCGACCCAAGATAGTTGCACACGAGTAAGCGTTGTACTTGCTATCTTTTTTTTATTTTTCTCGCCTATGATGTGAACAATAATCACTCCCTTGTTGCTTTGTGTGCGTACATTCTCATTTCAAACTCCTTTTATACGACAGTGCAGTTGCATATGTAAGCGCCTGAACTAACGACTCCATTACCTCTTCCCTACGGGACATGTCAAGCAGCTGCATTTTACCCGTTATAAATCATCGTTCATTGTTCATCGCCGTGCCTGCTACTTTCAGAAGCACAGTCCTTGTTACCCTTCACTCACTGTCCCATTCTGGTATTCGTGATATTTTAAAAGTGCTCACAGGGCGCTTCATCTATTCAAGCGGAAAAAATGCGGCGTAGTGTGTATGTGCGTCTGGACCTATGATGACTACCTCTAAGTACACTATTACAAGGGGAAGACGAATGATTGAACGAAAAGGCAGACTTGATTGCCGCTAATGTATGTGTAACATATCTGTCATCGTGGCATGTTTATGAGGTGAAGGTTTTCTTGCTATTATGCCACACAAGAGCATGGCTAAACAGGGCTTGGAAGCAGAAATGAATCACTTTTAGGAACATACTGCATGAAAGCAGGTACCCTGGAGATATTTCTTCGTCTAGGCATATTACTTCACTTGAAAATCCGGCTACACATGTAATTGTTTTTCTTCATAAATCCTCAAACTTTCTGTTACATTCAATTGTACACCACCGCAAAACTCCGTGTTAGCAAGAGGATGATAAGTAGAATTTTCTCCAGCCGTATATACCAAACGTAATGCTCAAATAAACTGTTCCAACCAGTGTCGAGAAATATATGATCTAATAGGCTATTATTCACTTATTTTGGGCGTTTATATTTTGTTGATGACAATCTTTCTATTAACCGCTGGTTGGAAGTGTAAATCATACACGGCGGCATTTTTTGAAATACGAACTGTAATGTACGTTCGAATTCGCCTGCATCACTGGTGCCGGGTGTGGCCCTAAATGATTTATGAAACCATAATCCGTTACAAACAAGGATACCACGGTAAGTAAAATATTGCTTCTTTGATACAGCTGTTGTTTGTGACGGGTTCTCTGTCTTAACATAGGTGAGCACAAGACACGTTATACACTCTGAACCAATAATGTTCACTTCAAAAACGTACATTAAAAGCACTGTTTTGGAGAGACACGTATAATCTCAAGCTGCCACAGGTGATACCACTTGGAGCTTAGCTGTCTATCCTTGTTCATGATTGGCCGTTACATTTTACTTCACATGTAAATAAGGCCAGCATTCATTTAGGGAGCTCAATCAGTCTACTAAGGCAATCAACATACACTCAAGACTTCATTTCACAGAAGATGTTAGCGGCCAGCCTTTTCTGCCTCCTTTGCTGTATGCTTCATGTCACATGCGGTGAGTCGCCAGTGGATGTTAGGCATTACTACTGTAGTTCTTCTTCATGATATTCAATCATTCGGCGGTTGATGTATTAGAATAAGAACTTTGGCATAGCGAAATACCTAAATAAATTATGGCATATTTTGTTACAATACGGAAGAACAATGTAATAATGATCATCCATCATTTTGTAATCGATGCACTTTCCCCCTGACCGGGAGCACTATTTCGTACCAACTTGTTTGTTAATCACCGGTAGATTTTCCGACGTTAGATTTAAGTGTGCGCAAGTTTCAATTGTAAGTAACTTACACGGAGCTCAGTTCAGTTTTTAAACAGCGTATTATTAATTTCTGAAAAGCGAGTAATCAATACATGCGTGGTCATACGATCCACATTTCTGAAATGTATCGCAAAACTGAAAAGTATCCAGGATTGCTCCTCGCTTGACACTTTTATTATGCATGGAAAGTGGGTGACTCATAGATTTACGTACATTGTTTTGCCAATATTCAGCGGTATGGCAGTGCTATATAAGTTGTATTAAAGCAGTTACCCATGACGTCCTATAGGGTAGTGATTGGGGGGCAATTACACGATTTAAACACACATTAAAGAAAAGACGCCCAAAATTACAATCACGGGAGAGGAAGTTCTAACTCCTGAGCCGCATGCTAAATTTCTTGGTTTCTATCCAAAGCTGCGTCCGATAAAGCTTGTTGGTCACTTATAAAAATGGAAGAAGTTAACTGGGTAAGCGTTTGATGAGTTTCAATGGTCAGAAGTCAGAACAATCAAACCAGGTTTGGTCGACGAGGAATATGGTAAACTGGCCAGACAGATTCACAAGATTTGGGACAAATTTATTTTAATTGGCTCGGACGAAGACTATTAGGAATTACTGGATACTGTATACCGTATTATAGAACAAGTATAAATGAATCCCCTATGAGTCTTTCCCAATATGTTGAAAAAGATTATAAACGTTGTCAGCCTGGATTTGTTTGTTTTACTTATGGAACATGTAAAATATCTGACTCAAAGAAGTAAGATGTCATCGTAAGTGTTCAATTGTTCTCTGAATCGAATAGTGGTAAAACATAAATCTATCAAGGTCATGAAATGCTGCACAGATATTGCCTCCATCATATGTACAGCCAAACGGTTCCAAATAGTTACCACACTCCGTTCGAAGCACAGTGGGTAGGAAACTCGCTTCACATCCGGCACGACAGCTTTGTATCTGCGTCCACGTGTGCTGCATGGCCCTTGTAATTGTATCATTGGCCACTGCATGAGGAATTCACCGAGATGTAAAACATTCTAGGTCAAAATGAGGTCGACTCGCACCGGACGGTTGGACCATGTTTAGGGACTTAGTTTCTTACAACCGTCTTCATAACCCGAGCCAAGTAAACACAGGGTGAAACAAAATTCAACACTGGTTTTCTGATGGAACATAAGAATCGAGGGACAATTTCTTCAGACCAGGTGCGGAAGCTACGTTTGAGCGCCCAAAGCATGCACAATTCGTTACGATTTAGTCTTGTCGTTTTATCCATGGATTTCAAATCATAGCACTACAATATACCTAGGTCTTCACGAATAGTGCAGGATACACCTGTTGCCAGTCAATCATGTGGACTTGTCTATCAAGTGTATCAAAAGCAGCGGAATATCTGCAAAGTTGAGAAAACGAGCAAGCGCGAGCAATTAGTACAGTAGCAGGAAACCGCAAAGAAACCTCCCTAAAGAGTACCTCCGCGTAGGTGACGAGATGTCTGAATCTAGCAGTTTACCTACCAGTGATATAGGACGAGCAAGCGAACATCCCATAACAAACAGCACAGAGCCCGCACCCAGTCCTGCGGCGCTGTGTGCTTCTGTGTTTGCAAATAACCAGGTTTCATGAAGATTTCGGTTTGCATCACCCTTACGGAACTCGACATTCTGGAGTTTGGTTTGGATAGGGTGCGACAGCTTCTCAACAATCTTAACTTTCTCAAGTCTGCAGGGCCTGACAAGCTCAAACTCTGATTCCCTAGAGTTTATCGGCCATCCTCTTGTTTTCCGCAATTACTTGTTCAACTGCTCCAGTTTCTGAATGCACAATGCCGATCGATTGGCAATGCTCGATTCCGAAATTCATTGACCCTAACAAAGTCGACAAATACAAGCCAATTTGTTTGTCACTTATTTTGGCCAAGGTTGAAGATAGCTTGTGAATAAGCGTTTGCTACGGCAGTCCCTGTTAAAAGATCTACTGACGCCAGCATATCGCGGTTTTATACCAATCGTTCATGCATCACCCATTTGCTCATGACATTACATGAATGTTAGCAAGCAATGAATTGGGAAAGTCTGTGGATATGATTTACATCTATTTTAGCAATCGTTTGACAAGATGAACCAAGCGATCCTTCTTCTCAAGCTGAGATTGTAAGTTAGTGGGTCTTTGCATCCGTAGGTCCCGGACTATCACGTTGGACGAAAGTGGAGGGCACAAGTCGATAGCAATCTAACCGACTAGTTGCCTTCGACCAGTGCCGTACACCAATGCACATAGTTGGAGCATACTTTATTCCCAATGTTTATCAACGACTCACCTCAGATCTGTCAGGCACCTGTACCCTGTTTGCAGACCACCAGTATATATAGAGAGTGTTATGTACATCTGACGACTACAACAACAAGGGTCTAATAGCCTTTCTATGTGATCTGCAGAAGTCCGAATCCAGCTCAACTCATCCAAGTCGTTATTCGAGAGCATGGGGAAGGGTGGCGACGGCCGAGATAAAACGCACAACCGTAAACTGCCACATATCAAAGCATCTGCGAATGATCTAGAGGTAATCTTACGTTACGACTTGAAATCATTGAACAATACGAACAAACTATATCGTGACGGACTGCTCATGGTTTTTGCACTTAAACGAACTTTTTGCATCAGCTTGAAAGAGGTTGCTACTTGTCTATTATATTTTCTTATCAGACCACTGCTAGATCGCTGTTCACGCACATATTTCTCGAGCACCCGTAGCGAGGCGCAGAGCGTTGAATTGGCTTAACTTGTCGCTGCTAGGAGCACTGCAGGATTTCAAGGCTTACGGTATGAAGATAGGTGCGGGTGAATGGAAATTTACAACCTAGTATCTCATCGGTAACGTATCGACCTCTTCATAACTTACGGAATTTTACACGTAGGCTGCTCCATCATGCTAATGCAATTGCTCCACTTCCAAAAGACTTACAGGACACCCGGTCAATAATACAAGCCTGTGATATCAGCTACGGAGAGAGTTCCGTAAAACTCGTGCCGAAAACGGCGAGCGTTATATATCGGAAACAGTTTGCTAAAATATATAATATAGCGAATCCAGTGCAGCATTTCAAACGGCCTTTGGATGTGCACTTGTCATATGTTAGGTTCCGAGAGAGAGAGTACAAATAAATATTTCACATTTTTGGGTTCTCATATACGGTGGGTTAAAATATATCTTAAACCATTTGACTTGATTAGGTGAATAAAAATCATTGTATTAACGAGTCCAGCTTGGTATACTTAGTGTGTCTATATTATCATGACTCGATGGAGTTTCACAGATTCAAATTTCTACTTGCTACCACAATATGGAATTCAGTATGTATTATTCAAGAATACAGGACAGTTATTCGCATGAGCATATTGTGAGTATTTCTGCACAGTATATAGGATGGGTCACAAATTCACACCGTCGTTTCCGCACTAGTGTCGTCACCTGACACCAAGATTTATATTACATTGGATAAATGTGTCAGTGTATCGACAAGTCGGTTATTGATGCGGTTAGGGCAATAATTTCATTCACATGAAGTGAGTTTAATGACTGTGAAAATCAGGGGCGAAAAACGTTTCGCCTATGTTCTATTTCCTTCAGTTGCGTAGAAAATTACGCAGATCGCCCCTTAGAGATTAGTGCTGACTAAGATTCAAAAGCAGGCGACAAGTGTAGCTAAGGTTCTAAATGAGGCGATGTGTCATAATAAGATCGCCCCGCATATGCTGAAAACATTCGCTGTAAACTCTCAGCATTTTCGCCGTGATGTGTCAAGGATTGGGGACAATCATTTGACCTTCTTCCTCGTTTTGCGTTGTGCAGTCTCGAGCGTAGTGCTCCTAAGCTTCGATTGCAAGATTTATGTGCGGCATCCAGCATGCACAAAGCACATGCGCAAAGACGGAGGTGGCGATGTTTCTGTGCACACTACATAGACGGCCGACTTGCTGAGTTTACTATTTGCTGCTTTTACAGTCAACCACAAATTGTGAAGGTTTTCTTGCACGAGCACGCCAAGTTCGCACGCATGGGAAGTGCCATTAGACTATGTGGCCTTGGCATGCTAACGTAGGCACCTTGCTGGCGTATGCTCAGGGCAATGAAGTTGGCGAGGTTGAAAATTTCATGTTCGCGGTGGTCCACGCTGGAGCATATTCCGATCAGTTTGCAACTTAGTGATAGCATGCAAAATATACAGTTCATCGGCAACTGGTGGAAAAATCGAAGATGGCACATTCACGATCTGAATTTTGAAGAACAGTAACAGGATTTGTTCGAGTACGATCTCTTAAATTACATTGTACTGCAATTCCACTGGTGAGCATATGGTTTTGTTACTCACCTATTCGGATGACATCAAGAGTAAAAGTAACATGTCTAACACAGAACTAGATCGCCTCTTCCATATATATTAGGCATGTGACGTCAAACGCTGCGAACCGCAAGGTTGATTGTCATAGAACTATCCAGATGAACTGCGCTAGTCTGACTCCAGTTGCTAGGTATTCTGTCAAGTATTAAAGGGATATTAATTGAGTAATTGTTAGAAGTGCGTGCTTCCCTGGTGTTAGAATTTTATACTATACAGGTACTCCATTCTTTTATCCACCACAGTGATTCCCGGCCCTGCTCGACACTGTATTTAATACTATAAATTAATAATTCGCTGGTTCAACACTGCTCTCAATCATGTAGGCTTGGGTGATGATCCAGTGCTTCCACATAATTGTGACCTGCATCTCGTTGTGACAGGTTGAAAGAATATTGCTAATGTTTCAGCTAGACAAATAGCAGCTGTTTTTAGCGTCTCTGAACAAACGCTGTCTGCATCAGGGTAGCTATAACCGCGTCAGATCATCGGTCGCTTAAACCTAGTTTTGCCGATAATAGAGGTGTGGCTAAATCATTGTAGTAAAGATGTTTCGAAATTGTAGGTGTTCTAAAGTACAAGCAAAATGATGTCTAAGGGTTTAACTGACCCTTACACAGACCATGCTTGCCAACTTGCATTAGTTGGTGGTTGAATGTCCTGCTTTATCTTGCAATTCGATAAAATATATGGTGCATTGGTTATTAACGTGTTACATGAGTTGATGAACTGCATCCCAAGCGGCTTCAGATGTTCTTCACCTAGAAACGACTAACCAAAGACCTCGATTAAGTCGGATGGAATGCTGGGGTGTGTTACCATGCAGACCATTTTGATGATTCCTTCAAAGTGTTTAGAAAACGGACGGTGCGAAAAGCAGCGTTACATGATCACTGAGGTTCAAGGCGCAGCGCACCGCATATTGGGAAAAAGTAACCCCATATGAGCAAATAGCAGTAATCAAATGGACAGTTTTCACTCTATTCTAGAATTTATATGGGTGATGACATGATTAGGAAGTAGCAGGCCAACAACTGGTTCTTAAATCTCAGCTCCGTACTACGCGTAAATTAACGCCAGAAACTGTAGCGCGTGCAAGTTGAAGTCGCCCACAGGAGATTCAGAGTTTTAGGCTATTATAACAGTATACAAAGCGAAAGCTAGTCCGCTACCCACTTCTAGATTGGACGTGTCACAACGTTATACTAGAGCATACAAATGTATCGCCACGGGTTATTTGTAGACGACACTAAATTGAGTACATTAGATGTATCTCTGTGTCCTCAAGTAATTGGATATGTACGCCACTGCCATAGTATATGATTACATCACCACTACTACCTAGCCAATATTTACATGCGATGGAGTTTTCTGGTTGAGCGCATTTTCACAATTTATTTCATCGTAAGCTAGGTTTCAGTTATCATTGTCGTGTTCATTGACATAACTACATGACGAAACTGATGCACGGTGACGTTACTAATGAGGTTTGGCATATTGGTATACCTGCATGCAAATGCTTTCCATGTCAGAAGCATAGCTGATGGGGCGGGTTGTAGGAACGAGCTTTTGCCAACCCCTATGTGGTAGGCAGATGGTCGTTTTATTGTGAACTGTTGCACTGAACCTTCCGGCGCTTCATATCGCCTGATGGAATGATTAGTGGATAAAGCTCCGTTTTCAGTACGCAGAATAATTGATGTTTCTTCAACATTTGGTTGTGCTCCGTAGGAATTCTTTTCGGATGTAAGCGATTCTGTGGTTACTTTAATCTTTCTCGGCCAACTGACGCCTGGTGTCGAACGTCATAATGTGAATAATTGAGATGTTCTTACGCTACTTGCGTCAAGTTTCATGTATGTGTTCTACTAGTTGTTTTCACGGGAGCATAATACCCACCACCTAACTTTCACATCGCATTCGGTTTAATGACTAGGTTAGGCCTGTAGTCAGTTTGAGGGTCCAATTAGGTATTGCAGGCTTTTGACAAATTAAGTTTTAATCATCCTAAACATTGATTTAAAGCTCATGTTTAAAGGCTGCTTGAAGCTCAGTGTTGCCAAGATTAATGGTCGATTTCGCGGTTCGCAGCTATTGTCGATAGTCAATGGTCAATGACATATTGCGGATAATAAAAAGTCAAAACTTGACACATCCTGTCCAAAGATCGGTCAGGGGTGAGTAAAATAAAGGCAAATGTATCAATAGGGAATAGTGAACAGCAACAAATTGTCAATTTGCCAATGACATCGTCCGCGTCCGTTTTCGTGCCATCTAAGGTTATCGACTAGAATTTCCGAGGAAAGTAAAAAGGTGGGTTAGTTTCTTCTTGTTTTGCTTACAAATGTACGGGTCATTAGATTAAGTGCTATGGCGTAACATGGCATTATTGAAATGTGCTTTGAGAACGGCTAACGTGGGGGCTGAAATATTAGCTTCTGAGGGGCTATTCTTCGTGTGGCAAACGCGCCACTAGAGGTTACTTCGGCACTCCAAGCAACTGCATTTTTATTCTAATTTGTGCTGATGAGGTCTCAGTTGGTTGGTGTGACTCAGCTTCAATAGTTGATGGCAGAGGTGATTATTGTTATTTAATATTTGGTAAACCATGTTTGGGTCAACAGACAAATGACGCTACCTTCAACGGGCTTGTGTTTGCTTCGCATATGCTAGCTCCACAAAAGGTTGGGGAAATTCTGAATGTAATATGAGTCAATCCGAATGTGGGTGTCTGCCGAAATAACCACATACCCATTGTTCGCCTATTGTAATGTCACGCACGAGAAGTCGTGTTTCCCCATAGTGGACCGAGTTCCTGTGCCGTACAGAGCGCACAACGCTGGGTGGCTTGATATTCCCGTAAAATATGAGACATACGGCGACAACTGTTTACTGTCGTTCAGCACCTTATCGATTACGGTGTTCGCGCTAGTTGCATGAACACTCGAACATGTGGTGTTTAGCGACTTACATGCCATTCTAAAATTAACCGTTTTGGGAGGAAATTAGGTCTGAAATTTCGTTGCCATGATAGGTTTATGTGTTCATTTATGGCACCGTGCAAGATTGTATAAGAGGTAGATAAAGGATACGCTCCTCGTTCTTGGACTTGTCACACGGATGTTATTTAGCTACATTTTTAGGTGCAGTCGATGTGTTCCGAGAGGCCGGTATAGCTAGCCTTATAGTTAATATCTCATAATATAACTTTGACAAGGAAAAGATATTCGCCTTAAAAGGTCGGTAGAACCTGATTTTATGCTTGGTTGCACATTGGGATTATCTGCGTACCAAGATTTAGTATTTTATTCCTACCTTGTTTCGGCCACTGTGCTCAAATTTTTACAGCTCTGGGTCCCAAATACAAAAGTTGCCAAGTAAACTTACCTCAGTCATGTTCTCTAGTTTATCGCATTTTGTGCCAACATAGCTATGTACCTAATAAGTCTGACAGCAACATAATCGGTGCAGAGCCAACCAAGTTAATTTTTTAGCTGTTTACTTGCCATCGCATTCAAATGAACATATACAGCAAACTAATATTAACTGCGACCGGCACACCAAATACTTGTTTTAACCTATTTTGCAGAAACGAATGCTATTCGTCAATGGCTCGGTGGGCACCATTCGGCGTCGAACTTCGTTTCGCGTCGTGTTCTTAGTTTTGTTTAGATCCATATATCAAATAGGACTGTTGTCTATACAAGCACGCTGGTTCTCTGAACTGGGTAGATGGTAGACGCTGAACGTGACGCACATTGGTCACACAAAGCGGGTTGGCCATACAACAAGTTATGCTTGATTTCACTTTCGATAAACAACAGCAAACTAAGCCCTCCACAAAGTTTGACATTTGGGTGAACAGTAGCAAGCTAGTGTCTACACAGACCAAGCAGCAACTAAGTAAGGTGCTGAGTGAGCACTTGTCTAGGCTATTCGATAGCTTGCAGCAAACCGCTTTGTGTGAAAGTAAATTTATATAAGAACTTAAAAAAGGGAAAAGTTTGGGTCGTGTGTTTAAGTAAGAGCTAAGTCCAAGTTATTGGTGTGGACTATAAAGCAGATAAATAAGTCACTTTATAAAACCCTTAAAATAGATGCCTTCTATAAACAAACAGTTAACTGATTTTATAATATGTAATGAACATTATTTGACGTTGGACATTTGTTTTCCATCCATCACTTCAGACTTCTCAGTTACGGTTTCTACGGATGAGAGGCCGTACATTGATTTTATGAATCACAAACTTGGAGAAAGCGTGGAGTCATACTGTGGAGCAAATGTAGGTGGTTCGCCTATACATCTTATTTACCGTATTCTTGATTACTCCGTCTTTATCGCACTATTAATTGCAATTAAATTGCTGGGAATGTCAGTACAGAGATTTGCGTTAAATTTATATGTTTTAACAGCCTTGATCCTGCCACATTATTATTTATGGAATCTGCATTTTACTAATATTGTTAACATCACGTTACTATCTCGTTATCATTTAGCTTTTAAACTTCGATAAAATTGGGGAGAGAAACTGTACAATCCACTGGTGGTTTTACGAACCCAGAACGAAGGAACTGATCTGCATTTGCAACGTGTCAGACGCGCCAGATAAAGACGGAAGGCTGTTAATGGGAGACGGAGATTCTCGCGGGGTTTTGTCAATTTCTGAGAATAAATTTAAAGAACGTAAGTTGCATTTACGTGTGTGCCACTGCTCAGTTCGTACAACTCCCATAGTCGATAGCCTGTGTGAAATAGTTACAACCGTCCACCTTAAGTTGCATAAACTGCATATGTAATTACCGCTCAAATTGTTTGATGAAAAACGATTAATTGATTTCATATTGATGTAAATGTCACACAATAACATTGCTGTGCACAATTTCGTTGGTTTGCATATACATAGTGCTCATAGTATCGCTCTTATGTCTTGTTGATTCCAGATGGTGATGTCCAGCAAGGGTCATTCGGTAGGTTCTACAAACATTTGCTTCCATATATCTGTCATTGTTGGTTATTTACAAATTGTAAGACGCAGCTGAAAACACTCCCGAAATATACTACTTCCCTGTCGAAATTTTGCCTTGCTGAATAATGTAACACAAGTATCGATTTTTAATGACATATATGAAATGCATAATCTTCATTTAACTTAATGTTATGCGTTCGCAAATCATGTAAAAGCATTTTATTACCACAAGTTCATTGTATAAATCTTGCTTGGAAGCAACTAACTGATGCAAATCATCGCACCATTAACTAAAAGCAGAATCTCAAAATCAAACTATTTTTTCTCTTCCATGTACACTTGAAGTTAATGACCAGTTCAATAAGCAGTTTCACAGATTTTAATAACGAATATGGAAGGGACAATTTGTTAGTAATATTTGTCAAATATTTCACATCGATGGCAGAGAGATAATATTCGGTTTTGGACTTTTCCGAGACATTACCAAAAGGCAGATTTATGTGAATGCAAGTTTAGCAACATAAGCTGAGTCTTAGTATCGAAATTTTGTTGCGCGCTGGAATGCCTGCGAGTTGTCACGTTCCAATTGTCATGCCTATGGTAATAATAACAATTAGAATAATAATATCAATAATATTATTGTATATTTATCATCGTACCGAGAAACCATAATCCACAAAGGGACGGAACATATTCACGTTGCAACATGCTCATGCATGCAAGGCCGTCAACTGTTTGGCTTTCTACAGTGTTACAATAGAAATGTTTTGCGAAATTTTCATTTTGAACTTTGTTGCTGTATGTTACCGATTCGCAGACATACTCATTTGGTTGTTTTCGGTCAGTTTGGTTATGCCGTCATGGAGGCGGTTTGATTGGGGAGTGGAAGGAGTATGAAAGTAAACACACAAGAGGAATCTCATTGCAGATTTACACGCAAGATTTAGTATTACCGTTTTCCTCCATGGATATCTGGTTCGTTGAAAAGACTTGTAAATCAATGGGGATCATTCAGTGTTCACACGGAGATTCTGTGAAAAATGTCATCGGTTTCACACAGAACATCAATGTTTTGTTACATTGGTCAGCGTGTGTCAGGTGCGTCCGCTTCCCCACTTAGTCCTGATCGCTTTCAATATTGCAGCTTATGCGCTGGAAATCTGGACCGAGTCGGACGTAAATCAAACTGCTCGCAATCTAGTGAGTAATCGCACGCCTCAAATTCGCCAGTCACACAAAATACCAAATGATATTTTAGCATGTTTTCCAGGATTAGTTAGAATCCATTGTAAAAGCTTGATTTATGTTTTTCATAATATCTGAATGTCGCTTTGTCGTGCCACTTGAATGTTGCTGTTTATTAATTGTTGGAAGTGCGGGATCAGGTTAAAACGCATCACCGTTGCTCAGATTCTTTTTCGGAATGTACAGACATTCTTCACATATATTCTTGACTAACGAGATCTTGCTGTCATACTAGAAACGAATACTGGCAAACTAGCATAACTGCATTGCGATCCGCAAGAGAAAGAAAACATGCCAATGGCAACAGTTCTTTTACCTTCTCAGCTGTAGCCGACATGCCTTTTACTTTTACACTATATTGCTCAATAAAATGCTATAAACAATTTAGTAAGGTGGGTTTTAGTGAAGAAAACAAGTTGCTTACCATCGAGGACGTCCTAAGAGAATCTCATTCAGTGTTATTATGATTTTGTGTGATAACTGCCAAAGCCTCTGATGAACTCAATTGGTTCACCGCGATATCAAACGATGGTGATCTCAGCGTCATGATGAAAGTTCCATGAGTTCACTGCAGCGTTATAATACAAAGGTTTGTCCTGAATAGAGCTCTGTTGTTTCCACGTCATCAGGTTTCTAGGTCCTGGGAATGGCTCGGTTGTTGTTAACGCGGCCTGAGTCGCTGCCCGGTAATTGTACGTCTCAGGTGAGCCAAGCGAAATTTGCACAAGTCTGTCGCAATTCTGCTAAACCCGTAGCAAATATCCCATGCGATTCTCCATGTGATTCTACCAACTTAACGGCAAGGCAATGTCTTGCACTCAACGATAAAGATATGGTCCAACCGTGATGTAATTTATGCATCACTACAAACAAGGCGTTTTAAGGATGTTCGAACACATAATACTACGCAGCGAATTGCCATGGAAAATACTTCGAAATTTGGTCATTGCCAAGCCATGTTTGGCTAAGCAGACGCATGACCAGCGACAGTGCTCTGCAAGTTTAGCTGTCTGCCCGTTTCAGATGTAACGAGTGTCAACTACGCAGTTGGCTGAAACAGGATCATCTCCAAGGGCTCACAATGTAGAGTTATATACAGTTTGTTCTGTGCACTTTCCAAAATCGATCACGGATTGTTGGACAGCAACTCATCCGAAAAACGATTTTCTGCCTGCCCTACGAAATCCCGCGCACGTTATAAGGAAACCTTAGTGGTTAGCTAATAATCAGGTATCGTTAGCTCCGGAGTATTGGTATCCAGAAATGCAAAGCCTATAATGCAAACTGACAACGCTTCGGTATTGCCAAGCATCCATTTTTGCCGTATTTATCATGAAAACAGAAGCACAGTTTAACGACTTGATTAAAAAAGCTGGTAGTTTAAAGCTTGTATTCTACTTTTGTGTAAAAACCGGCTTGATAAAGAAGGAGAAATAATTACTTATTGCAATTCAAGCCTGCACACCGACCACCTTAAGGACCAATGCATCCATGCGTTGGCTTTTATAGTGCGACCTAAACACAAGGAAGGACAATTTATATAAAGCGGCCTCTGTGTACCGCCCACCATTGTCTAACTTGGAATTGCACTAGATGCTGACCTCCGCTAAGAGTAAAAAGCTGGTTTATTTCAACAGCCAAGCTGCGTGACTAGCGGAATGCAATGTGTACAGCCTAAAACCCTAGCCAATCTCGATAAACGATTTGCGGCGGAATCGCATTAGCTTATATCTATTTTACCGATTTAGTACGATGTCATTTCCACAGCGCGTTTAAATGTAGGAAATCAACCGACCAACTTAGGCTGATCGTTGACCAAGGAAGAATTCAGGATTGATGCATTGACAGAAGTAATTATTTGGGCCTCTTTGCTCATGCGGCACCATATCCGTTACATGTGCCAGGCATAATATCTGAAAGCTAATATCAAGGAATCTCACGTCATGACCAATTAGGTTAATCCGTCTGAACTTGTTAGCACAAGTAGCTAGTTCTTCTTGGATATATTATTCCCTTAATTTATCTGGGTGAGTTTGCAAGCGTGTTGACATGCTAGTGGCATACAAATTAGAAACGGATATGCATCACTCAAAGAAGATAAATATTTTTCCTGAGGGGCATGAATCCGAAGTTTGCAATATTCAGATACTTGTCTTGTTAATACTACGTAGCCTCTCTTAGGGAGGACATCTTACTCATACTCGTTAAGGAATATATATTAGCAACACAACCGTGTTATGTAAATGTTGCTCAACATTAATCTGTGTAACGGACATGTGTACACAATTTGTAAAATCAGGCAAGCAATTTCTGCTCCAAACAAAGATTTCGAACCTGCTGTAACGTCACAAGAGGAGGTTAACCTTCCAGGAAAGCGATTTCGTTGTAGATACGGAAGGTTACTCTAGTCCAGCATCCTTCCTACATAGATTGCACCACCATTAGTTCTCATCCGCAAATTTATTTGCATTGCGGTCATACTTATTAGGTTGGCATATTTGCGCCAGTACCCTTCTACCTGTGTAGAAGACATTCGCAATAGGCGTTGCAGGCAGCTACGAGTGTTTAATTTAAACGACAGCAATATTATTTCAAAGATCCATAAAGAGATGCAGTTCCTTACTTGTGGAAGCATGGCATTTTCACTTCAAACCGTGAAACAAACATCGTGCAGAAACAGCAAATTATCAGCAATAATAACAATTACATTGATCAGTTCATGGAGTCCGATTTCGCTGAGGATTTCATAGGGCTCATGCAGAGTACATAAATTTTTGTACCTAATCAGCACGGATTTCGCACATTGAATCAAATAGTATCCCTTGCAAAATCGACACAATCTCTCGGTTTGGAGGCTTTTTGGATGCCTTCGATCTGAATTCTCACTACCTATTAACAAGCTGCTAAGTTATGGGATTGGATATCCATTGATGGGTTTGATAGATATCTGAAAATATGCAATGTCATATAACGGCAGGGTAGCAGTTGCATATACTACCTAACCAAAATTAAGGGCGGTGTACATTTAGCGTTCGCACCCGGATCCCGTCTGTCCTTGTTCTTCTAACTGACCTCGTGGAAATGAACTCTTCACGTTTTTCATTATTCGGCTTTGACCCTTATTTTCAGTGTGGAGTCGCTACAGCGGAAGATCCTACAGCGTTGCCGTGTGATCTGGATAATCTATATGCAAGTTCCTTCCGGTATTTCATACATTTCAGCGCCAACAACTGCAAAGCTCTGAGAATACGCCAGCAGAGCATTCAGTACTCATTGCCCGCGCCACGAATACCGAAGCGCAATTCTCTTGACTGCAATCTTCGTGTGCTCTTTCAAGATGATTCTGACTGTTTGATGTAGAATAAACAAGCAGCAACGAAAAAATTTAACACGTAGTCGTTCTGCGTGGTGAGCTCGGAAATGTCACCACCCTAATGTTTGCGCAGTTGTTCGGCGCATGTTGTAGTCCGCACATATAAAATGCTATCTAAACGTGGCAGCACCGCACAAATAGCACCTTTTAATGCTCGAAACTGCAAAACGCAAGGCAAGGAATAACGCTAACTGACGGTCCCAGCTTCTGTACAAAACCTGGCCGAAAACCTTTGGTGTGTATAGAGATTTGTTGACAGTGCATCAGTTACTAAATAGCCCAGGAGACAACATCCGATGTCTTTAGAAATTCAAGCAGTACCAATCTCTGAGGAATCATCATATTAATTTGACCACACAGAAGAGTGCACTGGGATGTCCACAAAGTGTTTACCCCTTTCGAGTGTTACAGTCTGAAACACTTTTGTATCAAATGTGATTATTGCCTCCACCAAAACGTTGCTGATTATTGGATGCATTTGCTCCAAATTATACGATCATTGATTATCGTATGATGCTTATATTATTGCGGGAGAGACGGTTGATAACAAGGAATTGACTTAGATACTTGACGGGATTACCCACAAATGTGCTACTTCAAATCTCTTGGTGAATCATGTATTTTGCGTGTTCTTTTATCTACCCTCTATTATTTTTTATTTCCCGTCCTAACAAGCTTATGTCTATGCCAAGCATTTGCTTTTAAACCATTGCTATTTTGTTTACTCTTCTGCCGTCAAATGTCCAGAAATCTCTTTTAAACTTCATACAATTAGCTTTTCTCCAACCAGAGAGCGTGTTTGTGAAATCGTTTTCGTTTAACTCCTCCAGGTTCACCGATATTTATCATCGAAAATGCAATCAGCTCTTTCAATCTCTTATCCAGTTTCTTCATCTAGCACACAATGAGACACAGGTGCTTTGTGATTCGGAACCATTAGAGAAACACAAATATTCTTGTGTGATTGTACACTACAACAATGAAAATGTGACATGGGAATATCCAGAAAATTGGATCGGCCCAACGAGATATCTCAGAAATATTTTCTACGATGAGAGCAACATAACTGTTCAAGTTGTCGGAATGCATTGGCCGCCAAAGGATTGTAAGTTTTCTTTTGGGTTATAAAGAACTTAACAATATTGAATCTCAGACTAAGTATACGTTAACAATTTTATGCAGCGTTCTGCTACTTGCCACGCACAGCTTATGCAACGAGTGAAAATGTGCTCAAGTTCCGATAGATCTTCTCCAGCCACTCTAATTTTGGGAAGGCTAAATTAGTGACTTGGTAATATCGCTTCACCTGTGTCTAGCAATGTAAGTACAAACACATTCCTCGCAAAAACCGTTGCATTTATACTAACAAGCATGTTTATTCTGATCCCTCATTTGACAGCAGTTGATGGTGGGCAGTTTCGTGAGTTTGCATTATTTTTCTTGCTAAGGGCATTGGTTGTCTATTCGATATCACATGAAAATTTCTCTGGCGCTTCAAACAAACCTCACTTGCCCCTGCAAGCACTGAAAATCAAGCTATTTCTATTTGTTGGGTATGATATGTTCTCTTAATTGATGTTATTTTGTGAAAGTTAGATGCATGTTCCACGTGGTGGTGTGTGTAATCAATCATTTAAATGTTAATTACTTCCACGTACGTTGTACATTTTCGTTCCCAAGACGTAGACACGGTCATGGAAGTCGAGGAAAAAACACCCGATTTCTGCAGGTTATTTTCAGAAAAAGCAAGTGCACAATTTGTATAGTGGTTCATTAATTGAAACTATTTTTTATACAGTGTTTGCTGTCAACCTAAGCAGAATGTCCCACCGCAACGCAAATCACATCATAAAAACCCGTATATTTTTACCGGATTGGAATGCGTATCCCGTTCTAATGTGCTAAAATTAAGAGCGCAACATTTTAAGCTGAACATGCATTATAAATTTACTAACAGCCGATATCTTAGGCAAGTCACATAATAGATAAAATAGATTAACCATCCTATGGAAGCCTTTTTGATATATGTCACTAAAGATGTGGATGCAGCGGTGCATGAAATAAAAGTGAAATTATAATTCGGAAGTAAAGACAATGCTTGCAAGTTGACAAAAATTTCATTGGCGCCGAAAGCAAACTTAATATTTACTATCACATAGAATAATGCTACAAGATGGCGCGCAGAAAACATAACCATAAATGTATAGGGGGCAATAAGAAGGGAAGAGCTTTTGGAAAATCAACCTGAATGTGGTGAAAATTGTCGTTTTAAACTGAAGAAAAGTTCGTACATGCACCAAAATTATAGTAAAAATATATAGTCAATCAGAGACTGTAGGGGCAGTTCAGGACACCCGGAAATGTGCTTAATCAAATAAACGATGAAGGCGAAGTCATTTTGCGAAAGCGCATGAAAAATATTAAGTGACCAATGTATCTAGTGAGGAAGAAATTATGCATTTACGAATTTATACCCTAAAAATTTGGCTCATGAAATGGTATTGTCTCAGAGTATAAAATTCTGAGTTTTGCTCCCTCCGGAACTTCCCATCCGTATATGTTAATCATGAGTGATTATGGGATAAACATGGTACTTTAACTGTGCATGAACTGTGTATGCTTTGATCGATTGCTCTCATAGGCCGAGAAACGTTTGCCAAAATCAAGCGTTTTTCAGTGCTTTGTGAGGTTATATCATGACGTTTACAAGCATTGAGAACAAAGGATCGGGACGACAATCACCGATGAAGATGATCCAGTCCTCTTTGGGGAATCAGTGATAACTCAGCAGCTAGAGCAATGCTGCATAATATTAAGTCGTTGGACTACTTATATCCAACACATTTGTGAGGAATCGGAAGCAGCTTAATGTATAAAAATGTAAGGTATTGCATTTAAAAGGTTTTGGAAAACTGTTAGCTTAGGTTGATAATTCAGATGCTCATTTGTTCGCCGAGCTGCGAAATTTGTTTGCAAACGTTTCACCGCAATGCGAGGCGGCATCATCAATGCGTCGAGATGTGGAGTGTAATCTTTGCTGATTCAATTGTCGACCCGTGATCGGCCTGCAGGTGACCTTTCGAAAGTGACGGCTTTGACCTGTGTCCCGTGACCTCTACCCATTTCCCGGTGGTGGAGGTCTTCGCTTGGGTTGTTCCTATTCAAGCGGCGTCTCATAATTTCGCTAAGTTCTCTCCATCGGAGGGGTATTCAAACTGGGTCAATCTCGATATGCATGTTGATCGAGTCTTTTGTTGAAAACCACGCTTCCAGGAATTCCCTTGCTCTTCTTGCTTCACCTCGTGCCAGGACTTCTGTTTTGGCCCAATCAAAGCTGTGTCCTTTTTATCCACTTGTGTTGAGACTAGCGAAGATGCATAGTGTCTTTTGCATGGTCTTTTGTGCTCCTGTAATCGTGTTGTTAATTTTCTGCCTGTTTGTTTAACATAGTCCTTTTCGCAATTTCTACAACTTAGTCTATATACAACATTACTTTGCTCATGAGCTTCCAGTTTCTCTTTCGATTTCGACAACGTTTTTCTCAATGTAGCAGTTGGTTTGTGTGCTACGATGAGGTGATGTTGTTTGAATAGTCTTGCTGCCATTTCGGATATATTCTTCATATAAGGTAAAACAACGCGTCTCTCCGTCCTTGGTGTAGACTGTCTGTTTGGTTTGTTGTGGTTCAGACACCTTCGGATGAAGCTTCGCGGATATTCTTTAAGTTGGAAACATTTAAATCGATGATTCTCTTCTTGTTCCTTTGCCTTCGCGGTACTGCATTGTGTTTGCACTCTACCAAATAGTGTCCGCACACAGCTTACTTTGTGGCATTTCGGTTGGTTACTGTTAAAATTCAGAATTTGGTCCGTATGTGTCGAGTTTCTGTAAACTGATGTTTGCAGCCTCCCTTCCATGGTTCTGGTTACTAATACATCTAAGAAAGGCATTTGGTTTTCCTTCCCCATTTCCATCGTAAACCGGATGTCTTCAATGGCGTTGACCAATAGCTGCGACTGTAACTTGGTTGCTTTTGATGATCACAAAGGTGTCGTCAACATATCGGACCCACAGTTTCGGATTAATGAGTGGGAGTACATCTCCCTCCAATTTCTGCGTTACCATCTCCGCGATGAGTCCCGATATAGGTGATCCCATTGGTGCACCTTTCAGTTGCTCGTAGATCTTCCCGTTGAAAGAGAAGTGGGTTGAAAGACACAACTGTAGTAGCTTGCATACGTTTACGCTCGTTAGATTTCCGATTGGTTGTTCACTGCTGTTCAGGCGTTCTGTGATGACTGTTGTTGCCATTTGTAAGTTTACAGATGTAAAGAGGGCAGTCACGTCGAAAGATATCATTATTTCATCATCATCTATTTGCAGATCTTTGAACTTTTGTAGAAATTGCTGGGAATTATTAATGGAATATTGCGATGCACAGGTCAGATGTTTGAGGCGTCTGCACATTTCTTTCACCAAGTTTTAGGTGGGTGTTCCTGGTAGTGACACGATCAGTCGTAATGGTGCATCATCTTTGTGTACCTTTGGGAGTCCATAGAATTGCGCGATGCTCGAGTCACGGGCTCTAATTCTTTGCTCTCATCCTTCGTGATTTGGTTATTTTCTTGAAGTTGCTTCAACTTTTTGTTTAATTTGTTTGCCAGCTGTGAGTTTGGATCGGTGTCAGTGCATTTGTAGGTCGTTGTGTCGTTCAAGAGACGTAAAGCTTTCTCAGTGTAATCCTCGTTATCCATTATAACAGTCATCCGTCCCTTGTCTGCCGGAAGGATAATGATCGTTTCGTCAGACCTCAAGGTTTTTATTACCTTCTTTCTTGTCTGCTTAGGGCATTGTACTGCCTGTTGCGCATTATAGCTGGAACAATAATGTGTCTTAGTTGCTTATGAGTCTCATCCTCAATTCCATTGGATTGTAAAGCGCTTTCGAATGTTGCCAGAAAGGCTGTAGTTGCTGCACCTTTGAAAATATAGTTTAGTTCCTTGGTGAGGACTTGTTTTTCCGATTCGTTAATTTGTCGTTTGGACAAATTTCTGATCCAGCTATCACTAGTAGTTCTGTCTTTCGCAGAGTTCAGTTTTGATAACTTATCGAGAAGTGCAGTATGTTTCTTTGTCCTAGTGTTTGTTGCCCGGCGTTCTATTGCAGCGTCAAGTTGTTCTGTTAGTTGTTCTCCAATAATTAGAAGACAGGTAGACTAATGTTCGTCCAGACATCGCTTGAATAGGAACAACCCAAGCGACGACCTCCGCCACGGGGAAATGGGTAGCGATCACGGGACACAGATCGAAGCCGTCACTTTCGAAAAACCACCTGCCCGCGGATCACGTGTCGACAGATGAATCAGCAAGATTACACTCCACATCTCGAAGCACTGATAATGCCGCTTTGCTTGGCGGTGAAACGTTTGCAGCTCGGCGAACAAATGACCAACTGAAGTTATTGCATTGGTTAAAACGCCATTGTCATCATGAAGCAAGGAGGAATAATTACCGCTCAGCTGTGTGAACTAGGAGCAGTTTACGGATTTGTTGCACTTCAAGCTGCACACCATCCGCAGACAGCAAATTATTAGGATTGACTTATCGACACTTCCAAAAGCGTTGGACTTGATGTAACCATGTGATCCGCCGACCGATTTTTATGGTAGTTAGCGAAGTGTGTGAACAGAATGTATTATGACAAGAGCCTTTATTGCGTTGATTCGAAATATATCTTAAGCTTATGACATTTCTATCTCCAGCAAATACTTTATTTCCTGCAGCAAGTTTTAAACAATTTCATTGGTGTTGCATCGGATTCTTAGGGGAAATTTCCCCTCAGTCTAGGCATAAATTGATTTCATATGATCGCTATATATGCATCTGAGTTTTAGGTCGGTATTTCGTAAATTCGGTTAACTCTGTATCACCCTTAAATCAAACATAATTTGAACATATCTGCAATAGTGTGCGCTACCACATACATGTTGAGATTGTTTCTTTTTGCTCAGTCAGATTCACGAGTGTGTTTATTCGTTCGAATGCGTTTTTCACCGAATTTATTACGAGTGTTTTTGCAGACTGCTACTTACGCAACTTGATATACAAGCGCATCAGTACTAGTCGGCAACATTCTGTCCAATGACGATATAATTCACTTGGCCAAGTATGAATTCCGTTGAAAACACACCGCGTTAGTCTAACTAAAGTATTTACGGTATAATTTAAAATGAATAAATTGTCACAAACATTTTAGCATATTATAGTTTACACTACGGAAGGATTTTCATCAATGCCCTTCAAGGAAAGGAGCGATTTCCGTACGTGTTACATTTTGGTAGGTTTGCCTAACCCTAGACCATGATATTTTTTGGTTGCCAATCAGGCGGTCGCTTGGTGCACCTCCTGGTAAGTTCGTGGAAAAACGACAACATGCTAAATCATGATTAGAGTCGAGGCAGACCAACAGGCCATCCGGGATGCAACCACGCCACCGGTAACTAATCTCAACGCAATTCATTTTGGTATATCCGTGGTTAGCTAAAGGAGGATGCCAAGTGGCACTTCGGCGTCAACTATGTCCAAAAGCAGTAATACTACGAGGCAGCTGGTGCTAGGTACACAGCTAGGAAAGTCGCTCTGCGTTGTCCATCCTTTCGGAGTTAAGTCATTACTTGACTCCTTTCAAAGTTTCTGAATTCCACAGACGACTTATTTGCGCTTTCCCATCCTTTGCAATACTCATTACAGAATTGATAACACAACGT